GTGAATGAACCTTGAAAACTTTATGCTGAAATAAGCCAGACACAAAAGTACAAATATTGTATGATTCCACTTATATAAAATATCTACAATTAGACAAATCTGTACAGAAAGAAAGTAGATTAGAAGTTCTCAGGAGCTGGAGAGAAAAAGGTAAAGGGAAATTAATTAACAGGTATAGAGTATCTGTTTAGGATAATGAAAAATTTTAGAAATAGATGGTGGTGGTTTTACAACATTGTGAATATAATGAGTTCTGTATTTTAAAAAATGGTTGAAATGGCAAATTTTATATTATTTTACCACAATTTTTTAAAAAGGAAACAAAAAACAAGGAGGCCAAAGAGAAAGGACAGAAAGATCACATACACAAGGACTACGATTAGACTGACAACGTACTTCTCGATAGCAACAGTGGAAGCTAGAATGCAGTTATGAAAAATATTTTTATAGCATTCATAGGACATAGATTTTTTGTCAACATAGATTTGCATACAAAGCAAGACTGCTTTCAAGACCCAGACAAACCATATAAAGATATCTCCAGAGAAACAAAAACTGAGATAAATTTATCATTAAGAAACTTCTGAATCAGTTTTACTCTGAAAAGTTAGCAATAAGAAGGATGGTGAGTCATACTAGCAGTAAAATTTATGAAATATCTATAAGAATAGCCTTAATAAGAAATATATGAGACCTGTATGAATAAATTGTAGTTGGGAATGTTGAATATAAATTCATAAGTATTAATGTTTTGCTGCAATAATGAATAATGTATTAATAATTCATAGGTGTTAATAGAAAGATAATACTTTGTCTAAGTTAATATACGAGCCTAATATAATTTAAATTAAAAATGCCAAGATTCCCCCCTTTTGAAACTTAACAATACTCTAAATTTACTCTGGAAAAATATGCAAGTGAGAATATAACTAAGAAATATTTTGAGGGGGCTGGCTCCGTGGTCGAATGGTTAAGTTCACGCGCTCCACTCCAGCAGCCCAGGGTTTCACTGTTTCGAATTCTGGGCGCCAACATGGCACCGCTCATCAGGCCATGCTGAGGTGGCATCCCACATGCCACAACTAGAAGGACCCACAACTGAAAATATACAGCTGTGTACCGGAGGGTTTTGGGGAGAAAAAGGAAAAATAAAATCTTTAAGAAATATATATATATTTTGAAATATAATTGTCATGAGAGAAGATACGCCACAGTTTGGGAGATAATACAATATAATGTAAAAATGGATCAATGGAACTGAATTTGCAGCCTAGAAAAAGATTAATAATTAAATGTATGCTAAAGGAAGCACAGTAAATCAATGAGGAAAAGAGAAATTATAATATTGGAACAATTAATAGGAAATATATTTAGAGCTCAACTTTACATCCTGTATCCCAGTAGATTTTATTTTATTTTATTTTATTTTATTTTATTTTTATTAAAGATTGGCACCTGAGCTAACAACTGTTGCCAATCTTCATTTTTTTTTTTTCCTGCTTTTTGGTTTGGATCCCAGGCATGGACCTATATACCGCTCATCAAGCCATGCTGTGGTGGTGTCTCACATACAAAAGCTAGAGGAAAATTGGCATAGATGTTAGCTCAGGGCCAATCTTCCTCACCAAAAACAAAGAGAGAAAAAATGTTACAATTTTAAAAATCTTTGGTAGGAAAATTTTCTGCACTTAAAAAGTGGCAATTGGGACCGGCTCTGTGGCCGAGTGGTTAAGTTCGCGTGCTCCGCTGTGGCGGCCCAGGGTTCGGATCCTGGGCGTGGACATGGCACCGCTCGTCAGGCCATGTTGAGGCGGTGTCCCACATCCCACAACTAGAAGGACCTGCAACTAAGATATACAACTGTGTACAGGGGGGGGTTGGGGAGATAAAGCAGAAAAAAAAAAAAAAGATTGGCAACAGTTGTTAGCCCAGGTGCCAATCTTTAAAAAAAAAAAAAGTGGTGGCAATAGAGAGTGCTTTTTACTTTAACAAGGCTACATTTTAAAATTCTATGTTTTAAAATGTAACTTAAACATTAAAGTGCAAAATGAGGAAAGATAATTGTAATGTGGGCAAAATAATATTTTTATATGTAAAACTTATTTAATCATTAGAAAAACACTAAAATACTAGTGAGCCGATAGGCACAGTTCACAAGAGAATAGACCACCTCAATCTGTTGATGAATTTTAGTATTATTAAAGGTGGGATAGCCTTAATCTTAGTATGATTAAAGGTGGGATAACCAGACATTGTATATGTCCTGATGGGATGCAGTATAAGCATATAGCATCATTTATTAAATATTTTTTCCAAAAAATTTCAACGTGGATGTAATCCAACTAATTTTCATCTAGAGGAACTTCAAGAATTGGCAGAACAAGTTAAATGACTAAAGAAAGCAAATAAAGCTAGAATATAAGACATTCTTCTGGACAGCTGACCCCTTGACTGCAACAAGTCAATGAATGGCATGGAACAAATACTGAGAACAATTTAATCTAATTGCTCTAAATTAAAAGAGACTTAAGCACCCTAACCAAATGTAGCATGTTGACCTTTGGATTCCAATTCAAACACACTAACAGTAAAATGACGTTGAAACATTCAGGGAAATTTGATTATGGAATGAATGTAGACAATGTCAGAGAATTACTGTTAATTTTATCAGGCATGGTAGTAGTACTATAGCTATACAGCAAAATATTAGAATTTTTTTAGAGTGGGGTAAAATGACACAATAGCTGAAATTTGCTTTAAAATACTTCAGCAAAAAAGAAAAAGATAGATGGAGAAAATATGGCAAAATCTTGATGATTTTTTGGATCTGGGTGATTCTACTTTGAAGTATATTTGAAAATTTTGAGTAAAAATTTTTAGAGAAAGGGAAATGGTTAAATTGAGATTACAAATACAAACAAATGAGACTAACCATTGCTGCAAAAGTATGGTGAACAGTAAACTTCATATTAGTGGTACAAGTATAAATTGGTACAACCCTATTAGAAAGCATTTTGGCATTATTAAGGAGAAAAAGAGGCTTTGACCAAAAGATACTTATTGCAGCATTAATTATAGTAACAGAAGTCCAGAAACAACTTAAGTATCCAATGGTAGGCAGGTGGTAAATTTTGGAGCAGTTACATATGGAGTATTGTGTAGTCATTAAAAGTAATGCTTATAAAGAGTTGATTAGAACATTGGGAAGTGCTTGTTTTGCTAAATGAATAGAATAGAGTACAGTTATGTGCACACACACGTATAAAATTGATTTCAAATACAATACTGCATCCATGGGGAAAAAAATACTAGAAGATAATGCTGAAATTGGTATGCTGTGAATCTCCATTTGGTGGAAATGAGTGGAATTTTCTTTATACTTTTCTATAATTTTTTCAGTGTTACGTATACATACATTTATAGTATTTATAATATGTAATATATTTATATATTCTAGTGTCTGTAATATATGATAGTCATAAGTGCTATATATACTAGGATATACACTATAAATACAAGTACTATTATATAAATGGTATATATACTATTATATGTAAGTGTATATGTATTTCTTTGATAATAAGAGGAAAGATGTCAGCATAAAAAGCCTAAGAAAAGAAACAAGAATAGTGTCTGTCCATTCTGGTTAATAAATCTCTAGAAAATAAAATTTTCTAGACGCTTAGTACAGTTTTCTCTGTTTCCTGTGCATGTTGTTATTAGGCCATAAAAAGTCCTTTGTGAACTGTGATGTTATGGATTCATGGACTCTCCTGTTTGAAAGGGGCCATAAAGTTGACATAGTTCAGTTTCTTCAGTCTTCTTAAGAGTTGATGGATTTGCTTAGAGAAAGGATAAGTTCCTGTTTTGTTTTTTGTTTTTTCCCTGTTTTTGTCTTTTGACAGATCTGTTAAGAATGTTAGAGGGCCGAGTGGTTAAGTTCACGTGCTCCACTTCAGCGGCCCGGGGTTTCGCTGGTTCGGATCCTGAGCACGGACATGGCACCGCTCATCAGGCCATGCTGAGGCGGCATCCCACATGCCACAACTAGAAGGACTCACAACTAAAATATACAACTATGTACTGGGGTGATTTGGGGAGAAAAAAAAAAGATTGGCAACAGTTTTTAGCTCAGGTGCCAATCTTTAAAAATAAATTTAAAAAAAAAGAATGTTAGAATGTTCTCAGTTCTTTGACAGATTGGTTAGAATGAAATTTCATTCTCTGTAACTGTATGCCTTTGTCTTTATTTTGCCTCCTGGGATCACACAAAACCAGTTTGATCCCTCTTCTTTACAACAGTTAATGTCCTCCCTGCACTGTTTTTTGTTTCTTCTACAATTCCACATAAAATATAATTTTAATTTTTGCTTCCTGGTAATTATTGGTCAAGCACTTCTACTGCAATCGTTTTCCTCCTTAAGTAAGATGACCAGCCTGACGCAGAAGCCCATCTGTGAAGCAAACAAAGTAAAGTGATACTCCTCACCTCCCTCATTTTGATGTGTATTCTTATAGTATTAGGTGATAACTTTTTGGAAAACATGTCATAGTATGTGATTGACTCGTGATTATTTTCGACCAAACCTTTAAGAAGAAGAAAACCGCACAGCATTGCTAAGCCTTTGTCTTCTCATTTACACTAGTGCAATTGGCTGTTTGGACCAGCTTTTCCCTTATTAGATATCCTCTTCCTAGATTCAGCCTATGTTTTGGGATACCAGTTGTGTCAATGGGCACATCAGCTAGCCCTCTCAACTTCATATGCCTCTAAAAGTTCAGTATGTCATTCATAGCCTCATCTATGTCATTGATAAAAAGTGTTGAAAAGAGTGTTTAAGTAAGATTTTAGTCCTAGGCACTCTGAAAAAAAAAATGTTTTAAAATAAACATCAGAAAACATTTGGCAAATAATCTTGTTGACAACTTTATTTTCAGATTTCTAGTTTAAGATATAAGTTAACGTTTTTATGTCTGTCTCACTTTTCCTTTCTCCTCAGGGATCCATCTGTCTCTAAGTCTATAGAACGAATCTTTAAAATCTGGGAAGATAGAAATGTATACCCAGAAGAAATGATTATGGCATTAAGAGAAGCTTTGAGTAAGTATCTTTTCTATCCTAAAAGGAAAATTTGTGTCATTGTTCAGTCTTTAAAATTGTATGTGTTTTATAGATCTGGTCTTGTTGCTTAATAATGAAAAATAAAGTTTTGTATTTGGCCCTATTTATATAAAATTAAATGCTTACAAAGATCTGTTTGACTTAAAACTTAAGTAGAATTGTTTTGGGGAGGGTTGAATTTTATTTTTATTGACTAAAGAAAGTCAAGTATATTCAGTGATGATGGCCATCTGATTATTTTCCTGCATTTGCTTTACTTTGAGTGTTTTAAACTGTTCATTTTTGTGTTTAATAATTACTGTCCTGTCCTTTTACTGTTGGAGGATTGTTGGACAGGGTTCCAGTTTTTACTAAGATATTTGACATTAAGCATATATCGACATTCTTCTGTCTCTATTGTAGTTTAGATTTGCAGTAAGTTGTGTATCTGTTTTTTAAGTTGTTTAGTTTCTATATATTAGATGCGTGTAATTAAGTCATTGAATGGAGGCTGGTGATATTTGATACCGTGACCATTGTTTGACTAGAGCTTTACTTTAAAAATAATACCTTCTAAGAAGCTGTTAAATTCTTCATTTGAATGTGTTAACTGGTATTTTTAGCTTACTGCCCTATTCTTCTCAAAATTAGTAATTTCATTGATTATAGAAATGATGTTTATTTGACAGCTTCTTAGATATGGTGGGTGTTTTAATTTTTTTTATAAAAATGAAAGAAAAGGAAAGAAAGAAACAACACAGTCTCGGACTGCCTTTTTTCATGCTACAACTTTGACACTGAAGTGGACAGACAGAACAGCTTCCCATAATGCCAGATTGCAAAAACTGAAATGTTTTCCAGGTACCACTTTCAAAACTCAGAAGCAGCTGAAAGAAAATCTGAACAAACAACCGAATAAGCAGTGGAAGAAATCACAAAGTAAGGAACAAAATCTCAACTAATATAAAATTACCTCCTCTTTTTGGAGCTGAAGAAAATGTAGACCATTTGACATCGTACCTGGCATAAACCATGGGCAAGCCTGTGTTTTCCAGGCCTGGGAGGCTCCCAGTGACTTACACTGAACAAGCCATCATGGAGTTACTTCTAAAAAAAAAAAAAAGCTGCTTTTAAGCAAAGGAAATGCAGAAAAAGGGTTTAAATGAGTGAAGATTCAAGAGTAGTTGGGGGATTGAAAGAAGAAAAAAAATACTTGATAGTGCCCAGGCTAACCCTCAGGTTCAAAGATAATGAAGTTAGAGCCAGCTGGCATTAACAGAGCTGAAGAGGAGACTAGGCATTAAGAAGCATTTCTGTGGGAGCCATGAAATCCTTCAGATTTGGGGATACACTCTACAGATTAGACATGGGCCTCAAATCCTGGCCAGAACCTCATTCTCTTAACAGGAGCTCCTGCTATGTTTATCATGTTTACCCAGCATGAGAACAAGGGAGTGAAATACTGCATGTTGTAGGCTGCTGTGGGCCACACTGAGGAATATTGAGAAAGACTTGAAGGTGTGGAGGGAACAAGGTAAAAGAGAGTGAGAATTGGGAGGTGAAACAAGACACTTGGGATGGTTTTGCTCCAGCAAGCATATGATATTCATCATCATAAGGGAGTCCTCTGACATCCTTTTGGTCATAAATTGCATGCTTAGGAACAACAGGAGTCATCATTTCAGCCAAAGTTCAACTGCAGTGGTAATGTACTTAGAACTCTCCCTGCCTATTTTTGCTGTGAATTGAGTCGACAGAAAAAAGGAATCTTAAGCTAAATACATAGGAATAGAGTTAATGTTTTAGGTAATTTTCTTCAGCCAGTGCTCAGGATTAATTGGATGTCTTGCTCCTGAACACTCTTAATTTGAAGTATTGAGATCCTCTTACACTCAGTCAGACTAGGAGAAAACGTACTTTATGTATCTCAGTATCTCCAAATGAGTAATTCTAGGACTTTGTCACTTAAAGGGTCTGTTGGAGGTAAGTAGGTTAGACTCGTCTAAATAGTATATTTTTATATTGACTATACTTAGGAGTGTTGAAATTTCATATTCCATTGTTTATTCTAGGAATTGTATCATGATTAAATGTGCATGTTTGACACATAGTCAAAGACTACACCCTTAACTATAGAGTTGAAAATCTTCCTAAATATTAGTTGACTTTTTGTGTCTGTATTCTTAATGATCTTTTGTTTAATTCCAACAGCATCCACGAATCCAAAAGCTGCTCTCAAGTCTAAGATAGTTGCTGAATTTCGAGTAAGTTACAGAATATGTTTAACATGCCAAAGCATTGTTCACCCCTTTTGTGTTAGATTCCTATACAGTCCAGTAAGGTTTATTTTTATTCAGTTGTACATCAGTTATATTTTAAACATGTTTGAGTTGTTCTAAAGGAATCCAGATTGCAATCAGATGTCTTCAAGTTTTATCTCTTCCCCTAACGGAAGAAATAACCTTCTTCCAGAATATCTTTTACCAGTTGAGTTCTTTATTGAACCCCCCCAACAAGGGATTCATCTTTCTAAATTAGAATTTTCTTAGTGTTAATATAGTAAGACTATGCTTATCTAATTAAAATTTAAAGTGGATATAAGTGGACCTTTGTCTGTTTCGGTCTTAACCCTGTATCCTTAAATTAGCTTTAAATAACAAGGAAAAGGATCTTTAAAGTGTATAACAAAATATGATTTTGACATGAGAATTGATATTAATATCCCTGATTGAGGAAACATGAAGAACTTTTTCCTCTTGGAGTTTTGTTAGGTTTTAGTCATATTTTATTTTAGTGGGGAAAAATGGAAAAGTGAATCATCTCATAAATGAAGTATGACTCTGGTGTGTGTTCAGTCTCAGGCCCTCATTGAAGAGCTGTTGCTGTACAAGCGCTCAGAAGATCAAATAGAATTGAAGGAAAAACAGCTGTCAACAATGAGGGTAGATGTGTGTAGCACAGAAACCCTCAAATGCTTAAAAGGTAATGCTTATATCCCTTTAAATAGAATAACTCAGATTTTCTTTCCAGATCTGTCATTTTCAGATCACAGTGGCTTCTCCCATAAAGAGAACCTTAGGTTGTGGAGAGCAGTTGTAGCACCTCTGGTTTCCCAGGTTGTAATTTCCTGCATATACTTTTCATAGGTAAATTCATGTCCTTCACATTGTGAACCTTAAGCTTACACAGTGTTACGTGTTGATTATATCTCAATAAAGCTGGAGAAAAAATAAGTTTAAAAAACCCAACAAACAAATTCTGTCCTTTTCCCCACTTCTAGTGCTTTCTTAATGTATTGGGTTATATCTAGACAAGTGTGTCTCACATGTGTAATTAACTGGTTTGGGTGTGATCTTTAATAAGGTTACTGTAATGCCTTATAAAATCTAGTTAGTTGCTCTCTTTTTCTAACATTGTGAATTATAAGCAATAATCATATTATTAATTTTTAGAATGTAAATCTCATGAAGGTAGAAATTATCCCTATTTGTTCATTGCTGTATCCCAGTGCCGAGAGCAATGCCTGGTGCATAATAGGTATATGATAAATATTTTTGAAATAGTTAGTAAATGGCTACTACATATTCATTTTGGCACCTATTTTGTTCTTGTACCATGCTTTAAAGTTAGTATATGTTACCTAGTTTAATCCTTACAACAACTCAGAATCGTATTAAAAACCTGTTTTATAAATGGGAAATCTGAGGCTTCCAAAGGAGATGAGTAGTTTGCCCAAGTCACACAGCTGATAAGAGGCAAAGCCAAAATTTGTGCCCATATCTAAAGCCATATTCCAACAGTCATGGGGAAATAAGTATACTTAGGAAAGTAAGTAACAGTTTGTAATGTCACTGTTGTTGGAAGAAATAATTCATGGTTTATTATTCTTCTGATATGAAATTATCAGGAATCTTCTTCAGATTGGAAAGAATTTTTAATGTTATACACACAGAGGTCACTTTATCTTGACTTTTCTGAACCTTAGTTTTCTCATCTAAGAGACATATTTTATACATTCTATAGAGTAAAACTTAATGGTATAAGTGAACAGAATTGAGCCTCATTCTGTTATTCCTAAGTTAGCAGTGTGGCATCAAATTTGTGAAGAAAAGCAATCAATAAACTTTCTTTTAGTTGGACTTTATTTTCTGTACCTTAATTACAGGTGCCTTCCTAATGCTCTCTTGCTAAACTCTAGCAGATTCACATGAATCATTTTAATAATCTGTTTTGTGATTTTTGTCATTTGGAGAAGCTTCTTTAAGGTGAAACTAAGAGACTGTTACACAGTAAGGCAGCAAGAACAGGTTCACAGATCATCTGGAGAGGGGTTTTCTTCAAAAGGTTAAATTTTTTTACTTTTTATCCTAAAATGAATACTTCCTCTGTTATTTTAGATAAGACAGGTGGGAAGAAGTTCTCCAAAGAATTTGAAGAAGCAAGCTCCAAGCTGGAGGAATTTGTGAATGGATTAGATAAGCAGGTGAAAAATGGACCCTCACTAACAGAAGCACTGGAAAATGCGGGAATTTTTTACGAAGCACAGTACAAAGAAGTAAAAGTGGTGGCCAATGTAAGTAATAATTAAAGATATCTTATATTGATTGCTTTCCTATATGTCAGTGACTGTTTATATGTGTTACCTAACTCTATGAGGATAAGCATTCTTATCTCCAGTTCACAGATGAAGTCACTTTTGAAGAGTTAGTAATCTTGTACAGGTAATATATAAAATAAGGCAGAAGTATATATAACCTTTTTTTTTAACCATCTAGTTTGATGGAAACATCGTTACTAAATTTTATGCAAGTTGACTGAATTAAGGACCCTCTCTGTTCCCACCTCCACTGGAAGGAGTGTTAATGATTGGATATTTGTCTAATGGCCTCTGAAAGAAACTGTCCATTTTATACTTACTTAATTTTTTTTTAAACACACTTATGGTTCTCTCTTTTTTTTTATAAGATTTTATTTTTCCTTTTTCTCCCCAAAGGTCCCCCGGTACATAGTTGTGTATTTTTAGTTGTGGGTCCTTCTAGTTGTGGCCTATGGGACACCGCCTCAGCATGGCCTGATGAGTGGTGCCATGTCCGCGCCCAGGATCCGAACCGGCGAAACCCTGGGTCGCCGAAGTGGAGCGCAGGAACTTAACCACTCGGCCACGGGCGGCCCCTATACTTACTTAATTTTTAGTCACTATCATAAAAGCATATAGTACTGTAGATCCTACCAGTCCCACTTCCTAAAAGCAGTTTCTCTTAACTCATTTAGCTACTTTTTCTGGGTTTTGTCTCCATATTTCTAAATAATATGCCTATATTGTTCTTTCTTGATTTATCCTGTTTAAGAAATATCTGTTAACTTGGTATGACAAATGAGAATTTAGCTTATGCTCACCTGCCTTCCCCCTCTCCCAATATCATTATGTAACTGTTTTAAATATATTGATTACCTTTGTAAATTGAACTACTATATATACTATTTTTTGACCACTGACTGTAGTCTCCTCACATTGTAAAATGAGGATATTAACATCCCTATTCTTTCCCATTAGTTTTCGTCTATCCCTTTAGTTTCCCAACTTCAGTAGACTACATTGTCAAGGTTGATAATATTTACATTCCATTTTATAATCATAATTGTCTTATTTCCTTGCTTTAAAGGTTGAAAATTAATAGACAAAGTTTATATTATAACTATGTAAACATTGTTCACTGCAAGGCCTTACAGTAACTGTGGGTATATTAGAAATTTTGGAGTTTTCCATTTCCTGCTCTCTAGGTCTCTAGATTTCATACTAGGACCACTCTTTACTGCTATTTTTATATGAGCCCTCTATTCTCCAGATTCCATGTCTTCTTTTCTTGGTTTTCTGTCTTGTTTTGCTGGAGCACATCCTCAATTAATTTCCCCCCAAAAAAAGCTTTGCAAGAGAGAAATTTTTTGAGTTCTTATATCTAAAAATGTCTTTATTCTGTTTTCACATTTGCTTTGATAGTTGCCTGGTTGAAAATCATTTTCCCTCATAGCTTAGAAGACATTACTCCATTGTCTTTAATATGTTGATATGAAGTCTTTGCAAGAAGCTTTAGGGATTTTATCCATGGTGTTCTGAAATTTTTACAGTGATATGTCGACATGTGAGATTTTCTTTTTTTCATTTATTCTAGGTTTACTTGGTGTGCTCTTTCAGTCTAAAGATTGGTATTCTTCAACTATGAGATAATTTCTTTATCTTTATTTTCTTTATTTTCTCTTTCTGGAATATTGATTAATCAGATGCTGGACTTCCCAGATTGATCACCTGTGTGTCCTGTGTTTTCTCAACTTTAATCTTTTTGTTCTGCTTTCTGGAAGATTTCGACTTTATCTTCCAGCTTCATCTTTTCATATTTATGTTTGACATTAATATTTTAAATTTCTAAGAATTCGCTTTTGATCTCTGTTCCTTTTTTATGGCAGCTCTTTCTCATTTTATGGATCCAGTATATGATGTCTTTGAGGATACAACTTTTTTGTCTTTCCTGAATTGTCTTATTTTCCTCTAGGGTCTTTTTCCCCCCTCTAATTATCTTGGACTTTTTCTTTTATGATTCTGCTTTTCCTCAAAAGTCAGATAATATCTCTTTGTCCATTCATATTTAAGAATGAGATATGAAAAAATTGAGAGGTTCTCTGTATGTAGGTAGGGATTATGTACTCTTGGGTTTAACCGTTAAAGTCTGTGACACGTGAGGAGCTGGCTCTTAGGGTAGGAGGAGCCCTGAATGTCAGAAGGCTAGAGTCTTTTGCCCAGATATTTTAACTCTTTAGGAAGGAACTCATATTTTTTTTGCCCGGGGCATAGTGCCTAGGCTGCCAAGTATGAAGATTGCAGAGGAAGTGGTAGTGAATGTTTGGTATTCACACTTTTAATTAATTATTGTGACATCAATCCCACTACTCACTCAACCCTTTTATACTCATCATTTCCTGGATCAAAGCCTCTCAGGGATTCTGCAAGACAAATCAGCTCCTTTCTGCATACTCCTAACCTCGTTTTTCTCCACCCTGCCTCCTCACTTTGCACACTTTGTCTTCTGAAAATTTGCGGAAATCTGTTTCTCAGGTTTGCTGCTTCTTGTTGGTTTATTCCTTTTTGTATTCCTTTGCAATTCATTTTATAGGAGTCTTAGGAAGGAGAAACCATGAATGGGAATGGTCAGTTCATCATTTTGACCAAAAGACCATTTTATAATTTTTGAGTGTTGACCTATAATAGTCCCTAGGGCCCTTATATATGAAATCATATAAAGTCATTTAGTCTGTTTTGGAGGCTCCTCAGCAAATGTCTGGGAGAGGTTTATTCAGCAAGCATTTATTGAGCGCTTATTCTATGTCAAGCGTTGTGTAATACAGAGAAAAAAGACAGAGACTCTATTCTTATAGAACTCTTTTGATGTGATGCAGAAAATACAATGAAAACACATAATTGTAATTTTGTGTAATAAATGCTATAATAGAGGTAACTATAGTACTGTGAAAACAGATTTAATAGGTGCTTTAGCTGATTTGAAAGTGGAGCTGGAAGATAGGGAGAAAAATTTCCCAAAGGAGCTGAACTCTGAAATTGCAAGAGTTAGCTAAATGAAAGCCCGTATTCTCTGAAGAGCATTTTCAAAAGCTTGGGGGTCCGGCCCTTTGGCTGAATGGTTAAGTTTGTGCGCTCCGCTTTGGCAGCCCATGGTTTCACCAGTTCGGATCCTGGGCGTGGACCTGGTACTGCTCATCAAGCCATGCTGAGACCACGTCCCACATACCACTTCCAGAGGCACTCACAACTAGAATATACAACCATGTACTGGGGGGCTTTGGGGAGAAGAAGAAAATAAAAGAGCATGGGAACATAAGAGCACAGCAAAGTTGGTGGGCCTGAGAGTAGTTTCTTATAGCTGGGTGTGTATGAGATAGTGATAAATAAAACTGGAGAGGTAGTCAGGAAGAAAAGTCCTGGTATTTATTTTAAGGCCTTTGAATTTTACCCAGAAAGCAGTGGGAGGCAGTTGTAGGATTTTAATTTTGCTAGTCATGTGATAAGGTCTGCATTTTCAAATCTAGCTAGCAGAATGGAGAATATTAGGGGCAGAGAGACAACTTAGGAGCTTGTTGAAGTAATCCAGGTTGGCTTATGTTGAAAAACTAAACCTCTAAGCAGTATTTTCTAAAAGGTTTTGACTACAATCCACAAGAAAGATTTTACGTGGAAACTGAGATCTGCAAACAAGCATGTGCATATACACACAGCAAAAGTTTTACAAAACGAAACTTACTCGTTATATGCAGTACACTGGGAGATATTCTTTCTTCTACATTATTTAATTTCTTTCTTTTTCTAATTTCTTCAGATGAATATTTAGGTAATTGATTTTCAGCTTTTTTAAAAAGGTATTAATACAATAAATTTCCTTCTGAGCTGCATCCCATAAATTTGTATATTTGGGTGTGTCTTTTACAAACAGCACTTAGTTGCATCTTGTTTTTGTTTTATTGTTGTTTTTTAATTCAGTCTGACAATCTTTACCTTTTAATTGGAGTGTTTATTTCATTTGTTGATATGCTTGCGTTTGTCTGCCATATTGATACTTGTTTTCTGTTTGTCCCATCTGTCCTTTGTTTCTTTGTTATTCCTTTTCTGCCTTTTTTGTTGTTGTTAATAAAGTAATTTTTAGATTCCATTTTATCTCTTCTTGTTGCTATCTCTCCCTTCCTCACTTTCCTTCCGTCCCCAACTTCCTCTCTCCTTTCCTCCCTATCTCTCTCTCACTCCCTCTCTTAGTGGTTGCTCTGGGGGCATTACAGTATACATCCCTAACTTACCTCTTTAAACTGTGTTAATTTAATATTACTTTCTTAATATTGTTATAATAATACCTTAAATTAATATTCTATCACTTCAATTACAGTGTGAGAACCTTACAATAATAGAGTTCCCTTCCCCCAGATCTTTATGCTATTGTTACCTATTTTACTTGCATATATTTTATATAGTTGATAATTTTTATTAATTTTGTCTTAAACAGTCAGTAGACTTTTAAAGAAATTAAGGAAAAAAACATACTCTTCTATATTTACTCACATATTCACGATTTCTGGTGTTCTTCATTCCCTTTTGCCGATCCACATTTCTATCTGGGATCATTTCCCTTCAGCCTGAATCCTTTAGCATTTTTTGTAGTACAGGACTGCTGGTGATAAATTTCTCAGATTTTGTTTATCTGAAAATGTCTTTATTTTACTTTGGTTTCTGTGAAATATTTTCTCTTGATATAGAATTCTGTTATTTCTTCTCTTCCATTCTTTCTCTTCTCCTTCTTGGATTCCAGTTACATGTCTCATGTACTCTTAGATTTCTGCTCTGTTTTATTTGTTCTTTTTTATCCCCTCTAGACTATTTTTTATTTCTTTTTCTTTTTTTTTGGTGAGGAAGATTGGCCCTGAGCTAACATCTGTTGCCAATCTTCCTCTTTTTTTTTTTTCCTCCCCAAGCTCCAGTACATAGATCCTAGTTGTTGGTTATTTTAGTTCTTCTATGTGGGATGCCACCACTGCATGACCCAACAAGCAGTGCAAAGGTCTATACCCAGGATCCAAACCAGTGAGCCCCAGGCTGCTGAAGCAGAGTGCATGAACTTAACCACTTGCCCACGGGGCTGGCCCCTCCATTTTTAAAATAATGCTTCTTGAATGACCAACCAAAATTATTTCACAATCCTAATGGGCCAAGGCTCTTAACAATAAAAAAGGAAAAAGAGACATAGCTTTAAGGCATTGGCAGTTAAGATAATCAGATCACTAGGATTTAAGTCAGGTGATCATAACATCAGCAGTGGTACATCATATTGATTGTATGTACTCTTGATATAATGTGATGACAGTAGCACTTTACTCTGTGGTCTTCCTCCCAGAAAGCCATAACCACAGTCTAATCATGAGATAAATATCAGAAAATCTCAGTTGAGGGACAGTCTGCAAAATACCTGACCAGGACTTTTCAAAACTGTTAGAGTCATCAAAAACAATGAAAGTCTAACAAACTGTCACAAACAAGAAGAGCCTAAGCAGCCATGACTCCTAAGTGAACTGTGGTATCCTGCATGGGATCCTGGACAGAAAAAGGACATTAGATAAAAACTGAGGAAACCTGAATAAAGTATGTGGACTTTAGTTAATAATAATTATCAAAATAGGTTCATTAATTATAACAAGTATATCATACGAATGTTAGATGTTAATAATAGGTAAAATTGGATGCAGGATATGTGGGAACTCTCTGTTATCTTCACAGTAATTTTGTATACCTAAAATTCTTGTAAAATAAAATTTATTTTTTAAAAAAATCAATAGTATTTGACCTCCCAGGCTGTACTTTATAGATTTGATTTTTTCTGTCTTCTTAGTCATTGCTGTATCTCCATTACCTAGAATAGTGGCCAGCACATTTAGGCTCTCAGTAAATAGTGGTTGATTGGGTGGATAGAAGAGAGCAAGGGAGGATGAATTACAGATAACCTCTAGGTTTCTAACTTAGGCAACTGCGTGGATGGTCCTTTTCACTTACGGAATACAAAAAGTAGAGATTGAAAACTACTCCATGATTTGACAGATGGTATTTTTTTCTTTTGTATCAGTCTGATTAAAGTCAAAATGGTAGCTTCTTGGTTCTTTTCTCTGAGGAGTTAACTCTTCTTTTTCTCTTTTAGGCATACAAAACCTTCGCTAATCGAGTGAACAATTTAAAGAAAAAGCTGGATCAGTTGAAGTCAACTCTTCCAGATCCTGAAGAATCACCAGTCCCTTCGCCAAGCATGGATGCTCCCTCCCCGACTGGTTCTGAGTCTCCTTTTCAGGGAATGGGAGGTGAGGAATCCCAGTCACCAACTGTGGAGAGTGAGAAATCTGCAACACCTGAGCCTGCAACAGATAATCGTGATGTGGAAGACATGGAACTCTCAGATGTGGAAGATGATGGGTCAAAAATCATTGGTATGTCCATATGTGATGAATAGACAGCTTGTTCCTTATCTGCTTTGCTTTCCCACCAGTGAATCTTATCATAGGCAGGTATTAAAAGATAGTTTAATTCTTATAAGATTAGAACACCGATGTAGCATTATTGTCTCTAGAGCGGTGATTTAAGATTTGGTATGCCACATGGGTTAAGAAATATTGCTCATGCCAGCCCTGTGGCCGAGTGGTTAAGTTCGTGTGCTCCGCTTTGGCAGCCCAGGGTTTTGACACTTAAGATCCTGGGTGTGGACATGGCACTGCTCATCAGGCCATGCTGAGGCGGCATCCCACATGCCACAACCAGAAGGACCCACAACTAAAATATACCACTATGTACTGGGGGGATTGGGGGAGGAAAAGCAAAAAAAGGAATTATTGCTTAAGATCTGTGCTGTTCAATTTGGTAGCCATTAGCTACATGTGACTATTGAGCATTTGAAATATGGCCAACTTGAGATGTGCTCTAATTATAAAATAATATACACTGGATTCCAGAAACTTAGTACTTAGTGAAATAACTCATTAATAATTTTTATATTTATAACTTATTGAAATGAAATTATTTGGGATATATTGAGATAAAAGATATTGTTAAAATTAATTTTATCTTTTTTTTTAATGTGGCTACTAGAAAATTTAAACTTACATATGCGGCTTGAATTATATTTCTATTGAACAACACTGCTCTAAAGGGAGGGACTCATACTGGAATTCCTTATTTTCTGTCATTCTTGATCTTAAAGATTCCAGAACCACCATTTGTTAACCATGCTTCCAAAATTAACCTGGATTGGTGAATTGTTTTTCTGATATCTCCAGCTTTTGTAATTGTTCTTATCAGGCAGTTTAACTTCTGTTGAATTTAATGTACTATTCATATACTGCTTAGCTTTTAAAGTATTAAAAGGAGTATATTGCAAAGACATCAAGAGTTAAAACATTGCAGTTTCAAATTAGTGCCTAATTGCACCCCCCCTGTAGGCCAACTTCAGGAAGCTAAAGGAAGATAAATAAAAATATGTACAGAGTTTGTATCTCTTAGAAAGCTCTCAGGTTAACAGAAGAGAAAAGACAGGACAATTTATGACATAAATATTACCAAAAGACAGAACACAACTGTGTACCAAATAATAACATGCTTCCAGAAATGTACAAATTTATTACACAGATACTAAGAAGATGCAAGGAGATCAATAAAAATAAGATAAAAAATGAATTTGGGGGGCTGGCCCCATGGCCTGATGGTTAAGTACAGCATGCTCTGCTTCAGCGGCCTGGGTTTGGTTTCCAGGTGCAGACCTACACCACTCGTCATTGGCCATGCTGTGGCAGTGACTCACATACAGAATAGAAGAAGATTGACAAAGCATGTTCACTCAGGGCAAATCTTCCTCAGCAAAAAAAAAGAATTTGGAAAAGCAGATATTGAGGGCAGAAAGGATCATATATTATAAAGAGTATGACTTTTTAAAAAATCATGAAGTAGGTGGTTTTCTCTAAAAGCATAGTGCTTTTTACCCCCAAATGAGGAAATATTAGGACATGTTGTTTCATACTGAAAGTACCATCCGGAAAGTTTTAGGATGCATTATCATGTCCTTCCTTTGTTTCAACAGTAGAGGACAGGAAGGAAAAACCTATGGAGAAGTCTGCTGTATCCACTTCTGTACCTACAAAGCCAACAGAAAGTATCTCAAAGGCCTCTTCGTGTACCCCAGTGCCTGTGACCATGACAGCAACTCCACCTCTTCCAAAGCCTGTGAATACTTCTCTTCTTTCCCCTTCCCCAGCATTGGCTTTGCCAAACCTGGCTAACGTGGATCTGGCAAAGATCAGTTCCATCCTCAGCAGCCTGACATCAGTCATGAAAAATACTGGTAAGTGAGCCTAGTAAAGAGGATAAAAAGCTGATTTCCATCTTTCTAATTGAACTATCAGCCTGGTTTTTTTTGTAACTTTTTTAAAATTAAAAGTAATTTTTTGAATTAAAAAATAAAGCCAATACATGGTCATTATAGAAAAATTAAAAAATAAAGAGAATAAAATAAATATCCATAATCCCACTACTCCAAAGGGGAAACTACTTGTGTCTAACCATACAAGTCCTATGGGTAAATGAATGTTTGGGGAGATTAAATATTTGTAGTAATTTTTCTTTTAATAATTAAAGCATAGTGCATATACTGTTTTGAAACCAGCTATTAGAAATTTACATATCATGAATGTTTTTGTAAGTCAATAAATATTCATCTATATAATTTTTAGTAGTTACATAGCATTTAATGATTTATCTAAGCCTTTATTATTGAATATCTAGTATGTTTCCAATTTTTCACTGTTATAAATAATACTATAATGAACAACCTTGATGCTAAAATTTTACGCATAACCCTTCCTAAAAGAGTTGGTGAATACACAGGGCTTTTCTTTCCAATGGAAATTTTAATGAAAGTATACAAAAATAGAGTACCTCCACTTACTCATCCTCAGCACTGTAAACACATGGCCAGTCTTGTTTCTTCTCTGTCCAACCCAATCCTGATTATTTTGTAGAAAATCGCAATTATTTTATTTCTTCATAAATACTTTGTATATTATTATTTCTTTTTTTTTTCTTTTGAGGAAGATTAGCCCTGAGCTAACATCTGCTGCCAGTCCTCCTCTTTTTGCTGAGAAATACTGGCCGTGAGCTAACATCCACGCCCATCTTCCTCTACTTTATATGTGGGATGCCTGCAACAGCATGGCTTGACAAGCAGTGCGTAGATCTGCACCGGGAATACGAAGCGGTGATCCCCAGGCCACCGAAGCAGTACGTGCAAACTTAACTGCTGCGCCGCCGGGCCAGCCCCTTAAATACAAGTTTTAAAAGATAAAGACTCTTGGGGCCGGCCCCACAGCCGAGTGGTTAAGTTCGCACGCTCCGCTTTGGCAGCCCAGGGTTTCACCAGTTCGGATCCTGGGTGCAGACATGGTACTGCTCATCAGGCTACGCTGAGGCAGCATCCCACATGCCACAACTAGAAGGACCCACAACTAAAAAGATATACAACTATATACTGGGGGGATCTGGGGAGAAAAACCAGGAAAAAAATGTGTTAATAAAAGATAAAGACTCTTAAAAAAAGTCAGCATGTAGGTTTTTTAAGTCTTTTCATATTATAACTAAAATGATCTCCAAAAATGTGCTATTTTATGTTCCAGGTATATGAAAGTTCCTGTTGTTCCTCAACCTCTCCAACACTGTTTTGTTTTGTTTTAATCTTTGTCAAATTCAATCTTAAAAAGTCATTTGTTTTAATTTGTATTCCTTTGATTAAAGATGTGGTTAAAATTCTTTTTGTTCACTTATCTATTTTACTTTGTGAAATACTTGTTCATATTTTTGGTCATTAAAATATCAATCCAGTGTTTAAAATGTAAAGGAAGTTGTTTATATAATCTCATTTAAGAGGCCATTTCACAAGCAACTTACTAATCACCTGGAATTATGCAGTGGTTGAGTTAGACAATTGTAATGGCCCTGATCATAGTCAGTCAGCAGGACTCTGAGCTGTAGGTGCCATTTGGTAGAGATAAAAGAAATAAATTCCCTGGTCTCTTCCTGTTGAGTCTTTTGAAACTAATGAATACATATGAAAAAAACTTAAAACTTGTTTATTTTAGGAGTGTTCCAAATAGTTGACAGCAAATCTTAGTCTGATTTTCAGATTTTTTCTTTGTGCAAGCCATGATATGGATCATTTGTGGATCAGTCAAAAAAGAATTCCCGGTAAACATACCAAACTCCATTAAGTGAGTGGAAAGTATGAATTTAAAGGTAATTTTTGAATTGCAATTTTTTGAGTTAATCTTTCTGCCACCAGGGGTCAGTCCTGCATCAAGACCTTCTCCAGGAACTCCTACAAGTCCCAGCAACCTCACCAGTGGCCTGAAAACACCCGCACCTGCCACGACCACATCTCACAACCCTCTGGCAAACATCCTCTCGAAGGTGGAGATCACCCCAGAGAGCATTCTGTCTGCTCTTTCCAAAACCCAGACGCAGTCGGCCCCTGCACTGCAAGGTAAACGGGCATGTGCCGGAGGGCCTTGCATTGTGAGTGTTCGTCTCTGGCTTAATCCTGGATTTTATCTCAGATCCAAAACCATGGAATGTTTAATACAGTTTATTCATTATTCTCTTTATGTTTATCACCTACGAGCTGGCACTTACAGAATTATAAAATATCAAAGCTGAGAAAGACTTTAAATATCATCTAGTCTAATCCCCTCCTTTTGAGGTGAGGAAATCAAGGCTCAGTGAGGTGATGTGACCTGAAGCAGGTCACACATCTATCTATTCGGTGATGAGCTGAGACTAAAAGTCAGATTTCTTGACTGGAGTCCAGTATTCTTTCACCTATACCATGACACCCCTAGGAGCTTCATTTATCCTAGCTCTTAGTACAGGTTAGGATATATTGCGGTTTACGTTTTTGGGTTTTTTTTAAGATTTTATTTCTTTTTCCTTTTTCTCCCCAAAGCCCCCCGGTACATAGTTATATATTCTTCGTTGTGGGTCCTTCTAGTTGTGGCATGTGGGACGCTGCCTCAGCATGGTTTGATGAGCAGTGCCATGTCCGCGCCCAGGATTCGAACCAACGAAACACTGGGCCACCTGCAGTGGAGCTCGCGAACCCAACCACTCGGCCATGGGGCCAGCCCTGAGGTTTATATATTTTAATATTAAACAAAGCTAAAGACAGTAAGAAAGGTCAATCTGCTATCAAAAATCTTATGAGACATGTTTATCTCTTTTTTTTATGTCCTCATGTTTTATAGAGGCCTATATTTATAGAGTACATCTTTTATGTTTTCTCCTACCTATAATCTCTACCTTATGTGAACCTCTATTCAGCTTTGCTAATTATTTCTTTTGTGCCTAAAAATGTCTACTTCTAACATTTTTTCATAAATCTTACCTGCTCTTTGTTCTCAGACCCTCCAGATAGCAACATAACCTTTTTTAAATACCTCAGTATAATTATTCAATGAATTACAAATACCAGAACGGTATCTTCAATATAGTGATTTACTCTGTATCAGTAATTCTCAACCAGGAGCCTTCAGGGGATATTTGGCAATGTCTGAAGACATTTTTGTTTGTCACAACTGGGGTAGGGGTGCTACTACATCTAGCGGACAGAGGCCAGGGATGCTGCTAAACATCCTGCAATGCACAGGACAGCCCTAACAACAAAGAATTATCCAGCCCAAAATGCCAATAGTGCTGAGATTGAGAAATCCTGCTTTATATGAATAGAGAGCAGTACAGGTATCTATTAATTTTCTTATTCTCTAAACTGTTCTATAAGTGGGTCAGCCAAGCACTACATTAGAGTGAACTTTGTCTTAAGATATAGGAGAATTTTGTTAGAAAGAACTAAATACTATTAGATAATAATCCACAGCCCCCATATCTTGGGACCAGCAGTAAAGAATTAATGATGATACTACAGCGCGTCTTAGACTGCTAATTTCAGGGATAGTTAGTTTGAGAGATTGGCATATTTATAATTTCTCCCTTCTAGTCTCTCTTCTATCACCATTCTATAGTTAAAGTAAAAATCTTGAACTCACTTTTATTTTTGCTTCTTATATTGATAAAATACTTCCTCTTAAAGAAGAAGGTTTTCCTTTCAGCAAATTGTTGCAACAGTATCATGTGGACCTTCTCATCAGGCAAAATTTGAACAGAACTAAATGTATTCTGACAAAATGAAAGCGGGAATCCCAGAAAACAACCTTTGTGGAATGACAGGGTAGTTCATCATCTTTCATTTCCTTATGAAAAGTGGAATTCTCCTTGACTTTTTTTTTTTTAAAGATTTTATTTTTTTCCTTTTTCTCCCCAAAGCCCCCCGGTACATAGTTGTATATTCTTCATTGTGGGTCCTTCTAATTGTGGCATGTGGGACGCTGCCTCAGCGTGGTTTGATGAGCACTGCCATGTCCACACCCAGGATTCGAACCAACGAAACACTGGGCCGCCTGCAGCAGAAGAGCGTGCAAACTTAACCGCTCGGCCACGGAGCCAGCCCCTCTCCTTGACTTTTAAAAGAACTACATCCAGTGACTTAAATAGATGTGTTTCTTCAAAGACTGTAAAGGAAATCTCTTAGAACTGTGCTCTGATTTTGTCACTCACAGCCCTTATTGACAGATAAGGCTCAACACAAAAGAACTTCAGTGAGCAGAGGTCCATTGAGTATGGCTTGTTAAGATTGAAGAAAAGTAATATCTAGTGGTGAGAGGTTATTTCACCTATACCAGAAATCTGAGTAGTATCTATTAGGAAGGGGAAAATTATATAGCCAGGGAACTTTTTGGAAATCAAGCATGGATTTTTTTTTTTAAGAGTATAGTAAACAATATTCCAGTTATTTGGGTATTATTGAATATTGCCACATACCATTATTTAAAAGTAGACGGTAGTGGGGCTGGCCCCGTGGCCGAGTGGTTAAGTTCGCGTGCTCTGCTGCAGGCGGCCCAGTGTTTCGTTGGTTCGAATCCTGGGCGCAGACATGGCACTGCTCATCAGACCACGCTGAGGCAGCGTCTCACATACCACAACTAGAAGGACCCACAACGAAGAATATACAACTATGTACTGGTGGGCTTTGGGGAGAAAAAGGAAAAAATAAAATCTTTAAAAAAAAAAAAGTAGGTGGTAGTTAAAAATATTACAAGGATGGAGTGGCCTTAAAGTTCATCAGACCTTAAATCTCTTAGCAAATATGGATTAAAATTGAAATTTTGAAGAAACATTAATTGAAGTATTATGTGGAATATTATTTTCTTTCACCATATCGTTATCAAGGAAAAGTTTTAGTATATGAGTTAAAGCTATAAGTTTGAGTGAAATGTACATAGAAAGTTTTCATTTATGACCATAAATTGGGTAAATCTTCTGAAATATGATTGACTTTATGGGACTGTCTGTTATGTCTTTGTCAAGTATTTTTCTAAAAAATCTTCTACAGGAGCAGTTTGCTTTGGTGGACTTCAGCCTTTGCCCCAAAGAATTGTTTCTCAGTGCTTCTGAGGTTTTGTCTGTCAGTGAGTAGGGTTGAATCTCATCAGTGTCAACCTGGATAGATCAGTAATCTTTGAATTTTCTAAGCTCTAAGATGGTGATTGTGTGTTTCCTTGTGAAAGGATCAGTGCCCCTGATGGTCTAGCTTTGTAAGTGTTTTTGGTGTATGTTTGTATATTTATTCTTGCTACATTTTACAACGAAAAATGATAACTAAAAACATTGTTTCCCCAAAGGAAACACTAGTCTAGCAAGAGATGCATCTTGAAAAAAGTGTTGCTGTTCAAATAAATTTCTGCGATTTGCATATGCTCTATCCCTTTTTAGAATAACAGTGTACATTAAAGTATTAGAGACAGTTGTGGAGGCTGGACAGGAAGGGTAGGGCAGAATATCTCTTTGCATTTAGGAAACAGTTCCACCGATCAAACATTAAGAAATACTGGCTTAAAGTGTTATTTTAAGAATAATTTTGCCCCCTTTCTTTCTCTGCTTTGTCTTGTTTAAACTAGGAATGATTCTGACACTAAAATCTCCCCCTTTCCTGTTGACTTTTATTATGCCTTGTTGGACTTGTTTTGTGACTGTACTGGAAACATTTCAGTGATTTGCTCTCTTTATATTGATAAATAGGTCCAGTGTTTTCTGTGAAATTTAGCCATTGCTTGTTTGGTCTGGATTCCCTTAGGCCTCATGTTTTAATGTCTATCTGGTTCCCACTGGCATGAATGAGAATATCCTGTTAGCCTACCTTGTTTTTATTGTAAGGTAGGGAGTTGTTCTTCTTAATTCCTCTAATCTTTGTTTCTACAGGCCTGTCATCTTTACTTCAGAGCGTTACTGGGAACCCAGTTCCAGCCTGTGAAGCTACATCCCAGATTACTTCAGCTTCCCCTGCCAGTACCACAGTCTCTAGCATAAAAGGAAGAAATCTGCCCTCCAATACCCAATCCTTTATTCCCAAAAGCTTCAACTATTCTCCTAATTCATCAACTTCTGAAGTGTCTTCAACTTCAGCCAGCAAGGCCTCAATTGGGCAAAGCCCAGGGCTCCCAAGCACTACTTTCAAGCTCCCGTCCAACTCTCTGGGGTTTTCAGGTACTCACAATACTAGCCCTGCTGCCCCACCTACTGAAGTTGCCATGTGCCAATCTTCAGAGATCTCCAAACCAAAGCTGGAGTCCGAGTCCACCTCCCCAAGCCTGGAAATGAAGATCCACAACTTCTTAAAAGGTAATCCTGGTTTCAGTGGCTTAAATTTAAACATCCCAATCTTGAGCAGTTTGGGGTCCAGTGCCCCAGCAGAAAACCATCCCTCAGACTTCCAGCGTGGCCCTACTAGCACATCAGTCGACAACATTGATGGAACCCCTGTGCGTGATGAACGGAGTGGGACACCCACCCAGGATGAGATGATGGACAAGCCCACATCCAGCAGTGTAGATACCATGTCCCTGCTTTCTAAGATTATTAGCCCTGGTTCCTCAACACCCAGCAGTACAAGATCACCACCCCCTGGGAGAGAGGAAAGCTACCCCCGGGAGCTCTCCAGTTCTGCATCTACATATCGACCCTTTGGCCTGGGGAGTGAATCACCCTATAAGCAGCCTTCTGATGGAATGGAGAGACCATCTTCCCTGATGGACTCTTCACAGGAAAAGTTCTATCCAGATACTTCTTTCCAGGAAGATGAGGATTACCGAGATTTTGAGTATTCAGGGCCTCCACCCTCTGCCATGATGAACCTAGAGAAGAAACCAGCCAAGTCTATCCTGAAATCAAGCAAGCTTTCTGATACCACCGAGTACCAGCCAATCCTGTCCAGTTATAGCCACAGGGCCCAAGAATTTGGGGTAAAGTCTGCCTTCCCTCTATCTGTAAGGGCCCTCTTGGACTCTAGTGAGAACTGTGACCGTCTCTCATCTTCCCCTGGGCTATTTGGTGCCTTCAACATAAGAGGGAATGAACCTGGGTCTGACCGGTCACCATCACCGAGTAAGAATGATTCATTTTTCACCCCTGACTCCAACCACAATAGCTTGTCTCAATCTACCACTGGGCATCTCAGTTTGCCACAGAAGCAGTACCCAGACTCTCCTCACCCAGTTCCACATCGTTCCCTTTTCTCTCCGCAGAATACCCTTGCCGCTCCCACGGGCCACCCACCCACATCAGGCGTGGAGAAAGTCCTGGCCTCCACCATTTCCACCACATCGACGATTGAGTTTAAGAATATGCTTAAAAACGCCTCACGAAAGCCCTCAGATGATAAGCATTTTGGCCAGACTCCCAGCAAGGGCACTTCAAGTGATGGTGTCAGTCTCTCAAACCTCGCCCAGCCCAGCTTGACCACCACTGATCAGCAGCAGCAAGAAGAGCACTACCGCATAGAAACCCGAGTCTCCTCTTCCTGCTTAGACTTGCCTGATAGTACGGAAGAAAAAGGGGCCCCTATAGAAACCTTGGGTTATCATAACGCATCCAATAGGAGGATGTCAGGGGAGCCAATACAGACCGTAGAGTCCATCCGAGTTCCTGGGAAGGGAAATAGAGGACATGGGCGTGAGGCTTCAAGGGTGGGTTGGTTTGATCTGAGCACCTCGGGCAGCTCTTTTGACAATGGCCCCTCAAGTGCCTCTGAGTTGGCATCCCTTGGGGGTGGGGGCAGCGGAGGCCTCACTGGCTTTAAAACAGCACCATACAAGGAACGGGCACCCCAGTTTCAGGAAAGTGTCGGCAGCTTTCGTTCCAACAGTTTCAACTCAACATTTGAGCATCATCTCCCCCCGTCCCCCTTGGAACATGGGACACCCTTCCAGAGAGAGTCAGTGGGGCCATCATCTGCCCCACCTGCCCCTGCTAAGGATCATGGTGGTATCTTCTCTCGAGATGCACCCACTCATCTACCCTCTGTGGATCTTTCGAACCCCTTCACAAAGGAGGCAGCCCTGGCCCATGCTGCCCCACCCCCTCCTCCTGGAGAGCACAGCGGAGTTCCTTTCCCCACTCCACCCCCTCCTCCACCCCCTGGGGAACATAGCAGCAGTGGTGGGAGTGGTGTCCCCTTTTCTACTCCACCTCCTCCTCCACCCCCTGTTGACCACGCTGGGGTTGTACCCTTCCCAACCCCACCACTGGCAGAGCACGGAGTGGCAGGGGCCATTGCAGTATTTTCCAAGGACCGTAGTTCTCTCCTTCAAGGGACCCTGGCTGAGCATTTTGGGGTGCTTGCAGGACCCAGGGACCATGGGGGCCCTACTCAACGGGACCTCAACGGCCCTGGCCTTAGCCATGTACGCGAGAGCCTGAGCCTACCCTCCCACTCTCTGGAGCACCTGGGCCCAGCTCATGGAGGAGGAGGTGGGGGAGGCAGCAACAGCAGCAGTGGCCCCCCCTTGGGTCCCTCACACAGAGACGCCATCAACCGGAGTGGTATGATTTTGCGGAATCCCCGGCCAGACTTTCGGCCTAGGGAACCTTTTCTCAGCAGAGACCCGTTCCACAGTTTAAAGAGACCCAGGCCACCTTTTGCTAGGGGCCCTCCGTTCTTTGCACCAAAACGCCCATTCTTCCCTCCCAGGTACTGATGGAAACCAAGGGAAAGGCATTCTGAACAGTCTAGAGAGCATTGGAAGTAGGAGTTTGGTTTATTATTGTTGTTGTTTATATTTGTTTTCCCTCCTTTGACTTATTTTCTTTTTATTATGACAAAGGGTCTCCCTTCCAAATTAAAAAGTCATATATGCTTACATTTCACTATTCCATCCAGTCCTTCCTCCCACTGCAACTTACCTACCCTTCCCAAGTTGTTTGTATTTTACAGGGGAGGGGGCAAAGAAACACAACCAAAGCCACTTCATTTGGCTGGGGGTTTGAGGGGCGGGGAGGAAAACAAATCTTATTTCACCCCATCTATTGAAGAGTATTATTACATTTGAAATAAAACTTCCATCAGTACAGATAATAACACGTGCAATGTTGGGATGTTATTTTGGGCTTGGCTTATCAAGTAGTCAATGGAAAGATTCCTGTCCCCTTCTCCAGCTAAGTAACTGCTGTAACCAGCTTGGCTCCTTTCCCTGTATGCTCTCTGCCCTGCTAACAGCCAAGAGATGTTGCAAGGGAGGAAATGTGGGAGACCTTGGACCTGTCAAGTTTGTTTGTTTTTGTTTTGTTTTTATTTTTAAAGGCATGTCGAAGTTGAGTTCTTTACCTTTCTCCTGAAATCTTAATTTTATTTTATTTTTAATCACCCTCTTCTAAAGTACCATCAGGCAGTAACTTTGGGGAGATAAAAAACCTCATTGTATCGTAGCAAAAATTTTCCTCTTTATCCTTGGAATGAAAGAGAGTTGACTGGGTATAATTTCAAGGTTAAAATAAGGAGTAAGTACAAAATGGAGTTAGAGAAAGGAACCATTAATGGTGTGATATGACCTGCCCTTCCTTCATAAACCAGAGAGAATAAATGGGAAACGTTTTCAAGGTAGTTTCACACGTCTTGCACCAAGCTCTTCCTGCTTTTCTTCTTGACTGACTTTTTCTCCCTCAGTTTTCACTTCTACTTTGACCAGAAAGAAAGTCACTACAGTTGACAGTTGCTACAAGGGGGCAACTGGAATATTATCCCTATATTTTTCATAGCAGTAGACATTTTTACCGTGGTGCCTCCCTAATGGGAGTGAGGTTTGGGGGCGGTCTTCAGCAAGGGTTAACTACCAGGGGAAGGCAATTACTTGTCTTCATCTTCCTTTTCCCCTTGCCTAGTCCCGTCTGCACCTCTGTTGTTGGTATTTCAGAGGAGGAGATTCAATAGCATTTTCTTTATATTATACCTCTCTAGATATGTCTTAGTGACAAGTGGGTATTACCATACATATCTCTACAGAGAAACAGGAAGACCTGATAAATCCAAACTTACCCCACTCTACAGATAGCCTGTCCCATTTCAAGGCTCAAGCCTTATTTTCACCTCCCACTCCCAATAGGAAATAAGGTTTCTACCCTTAGTCATTTTACATGAGAAAGAAGTGCTTTTCTTCTCCCTGAACTGAAAGACTTCTTGTTTGTATTTCTACAACTAGTACTGGGAAAAAGACAATCACTGCACTTTGCGTGTTTATATCTTTCTATCTAGGGACACTGAAAAGCAAATGTTACTTTACTACATTTTTTATTTAGTGTCTTGCCCTAAGGTACACACTGGTAATCCCCAGCTAGATGAGTAAAACGATACGTGTTGAGTTGAGTGTTTTAGGGAATCTTGGCAAGTTTCCTCTGTTCTTCCAAGTTAGTGTAGAACTAAATCTAGGAAGTACGGGGATTACTATTGTAGAGCGGACAATGTAGTGACGAAGATGATTGTCTCCGAATAAACTTGCTTTGCAGATACAAAACAGCTTAAACCAGTGTGTGTCATAGTTTGGGAGTTTTTTGTAATTTATTCCATGTTATTTATTTGGGCTCGCCATGTGTTCTGTGGTTAGGATGCTGCAAGTTATTCATCTTCCTAATGCATTCTGGTCTTAAGCCAACTGTTCTTTCTTTGACCCTCTCAAGCGTCTCTGTCCTGTAGTTCTCCCCACGAAAATGCATGATACCATGACCTTGTATGTGGGATGGGGGTATATAGTGTAGCAAAGCCAAGAAACAATATAGTTATATTGAGTCCTAAGACATTTGTTTAGGGAAAAGTGTGAGAGAGTGAGGGTGGGGGGAGGGGGAGGGAGAGTTCTATTTGACTTAAAACTGAAATTGATTTTTTTTTTTTGCAGAAATTAAGTGGGATGTTTTTCATTCTAGAATAAAAGAATGTGAATTCTTTCTGCTGCTCTTGTTTAAGCTAAGTAGTGTTTACTTGAAAAGGCTCTCTGACCATTTGATTTTATGAGAAAATGTAGGGATGTCAGGAAAGTGGCTTCCTGAATGTTGGGGTAGGGTAATTGCCCTCAAAAGCATGATGGCTAATACGCGAAGGAAAGACCTTGTTGTACAGTTTATAAGATGGACTTTTAAGGGTTGGTTTTTTTGTGGGGTGTTTTGTTTTTTAAGCCACAGAATCCTCAATGCGTTTGTTGCAGGCTGAAAATGAGGATTTGTATGTGACTGTCAGCTGTTAACTTTAAGGAAATCTGTCTACAGCAGTAAATGAAGATGACAATGTATATATGTGATATAGTGAAACAAAAAAACAATTCTGATATTCATAACATTGAAACAAAGGGGTTTTATTCTTTCTGTGTCTGTGATTTAAAACTCCATGCCCATGCTCTGACTTTTGTATTTCAACCTGAGTTTAAAAAAATAAACAAGATATTTTTTAAAGAAAGCATAACATAGTGTGTCTTGGCAAGGACATGATTCATATGAAAGCAAAATAATGTGAAGTTGTTACTAAGGACCTTGGTGCTCACTGTAAAATCACAGACAGAGAATTGGTGGGAGTCGTGAATACACTGGTACCACTTACAACTCAGTGACACAGTATCAGAAATTGAGTCCTTCAGTATTTTGTAAGAGTTCACTTTCAGTCAAGCGTAGATGAGAGCTCTCTCCCTGCACCCCTCTGCCCTCCCAACGGCTGAGAGTAAATAGAACTTGGTTTGATTCCAGGGAGGGTAAAATGATCAGAGAGTAGGACTTTTATCCTTTCCGATCCCAGGAATACAATGTTTGTGGTATATATGGTACAGCAAACCTGTTTAGATAATGTGAATATGCTAAACTTCCTAATTGCAGAATATTCACTACCAATCCTGAAGTTACTGGGTCATGCAGAATTAAGCTTCAGCTGTTATTGTTTTGAAGCCGCTGTAAATTACTGCTTTTTCCCCTTTTTTCCTGCCCTCTCTCCTCCACCTTTTTTTTTTGAATGGGTGGGGGTGCCTGTTAAGATTAAAATTAGATATGTTGGATTGATATTCTCACATGTTCAGTGTGGAAAACAAAACAAGTACATGCTTTAGAGGCAACAACAATGAAATCCTTTTGAAATGTGTATTAATATCATTTAATAAAATAACTAGTTCTAAAGGTTTGACATTTTTCTTTGAGATTTGGGGCTTTGACCAAGGGCCCTGGCTTCTCTGTTGAGTGCAAATAGGAGGGAACTTCTCCAGGAGTTGAAACTGCTGCTTTGTGGAGGCCCGTGGTTGAAAAACCCAAATTTTCTCCAACAAAGACCTTACATGACTGTCCAGGGCTGAAGGTGAAACCAACTACAGAATGCAGAAAGAAAAGCCTGGATATTTCTCCGAAGATAACGATTGTATTGGCTTTTGGTCTAAAAGTGTGTACGGGGTAGAGGTGCTAATGTATGTGCCTGCCCATTTCTGAGGCACACACAAAGATGCCACTGACCACCTATCTTGTCCCTTCCTTGTTACCACTTGGCAATTTCCTCTCTTCCAGCCATTCCTTCTTTTTTTTTTTTAATCTATTTCCCCAATATTATGTTTTTGTTTTCCAGTTTAATAAAGTATGGTTTCCTTTGTTGTGTGGTTGACTTTTCCCCTCTCACATTGATCTGGTCCAGCTGTCCCCTTTGACTTCTGCACTCAGTGTCACTGAAGGCAATCTGAGCCTCTAAGATCTTCATGGCCTCGTGGGTTTTCTGTTTGATCCTTTGTATAATTCAGTTTTGGAAAGGATGATGGGTGGGGTGAGATGAAGATGTTCAGGGAGTGGTTGGTAATGGGATATACTGTATGGATAATTATTTGTGTATGTCTTCAAAAAATTGTACAATTGTAAGCAAAGAAGTATTTTTAAAACAAGCATAGAATTGGGCTGGGGGTGGTGGTAGAGATCCTTCTGGCCAATTATTTGCCCACATCTACCCATCTTGCTGCATATTGGCAGTCTGTCATACAGAAGTCACACTTAACCCCTCTCTCTTGTCCGATCTCTTTTTCATAACCTAGTGAGGCTTAATAAATGGAATGTTGGCTTTAAGGGGTAAAGAGAGTCACCACATGTAGACCAGGCCTAAGTCACTGGCAGGGTATAAGGCTCTAAATAGCAGCCTTAATTACGTGAAGCTACACACGTGTGTCACCAGACACTTCAGAAATAGCGGCCCAGGAACACACCCAGTGGGTAGGGTGTACCACTGTGCTGGACGATTCTGGAATGTGGCTCACCCTTTCTTGCTTGTCCCCTCTGGGGACCTTGATTTGCCCACCTGATTCCTGTCTCCACCCCCAAGGGAGCAACAGCTTATTTAGACTTCCTCACTGGCCTTTCTGGTCATGTTGAAAATTCATTAAGTTCCTCCCCCTAAATTGTTTTATTTAAGCCAATCTTGTAGAGGAGGGATGAATTACCCCCTGATGTATGTAGACAGTAACACAAACACCATCTGAATGGGTTTTGGGGTATTGGGGCGTTTCTCATACTTGTTTATGAGTAACTGGACAAGTCTGGGCAGCTGCTGTTTATAATTGCTGAGTAATAACTCACTGAGGCGGCCTAGACAAAGCTATGAGAGGGACACCAGTAAGTGAGATAGGGGCTCTTAAGTAAACATCCTGTTTTCCCTTCGCCTGTGTAGAAGTAAAGGGAAGCCTATATGCTTTAAAGGAAAGGAGCAAGTGCAATGTAAAACTATCGAATTCTAACTGTAGGGGGAGGACAGGAGAAACTTTTTCTGCTTAGTTATAAATTTGAGGGGAAGGGGATAAGAAGGTTGAGATCTATTTAGAAATTGATATTTCAGTTACCTTATGGTTCCGTTATTTTATTTTATTTTTTCCTGTCCTTTCCATTTGTTCTCACTGTTGCACAAGTTAAAAGTTGAGAATACAGATGTGGGTGGAGGGGCTAGTGAGCAATGCCAACAGGAAAAAAAAAACCACAGCCTATGGGTTTTTGTGTTTGACTCAAAAGGGTGTTGGCTGAACCAGTCCACCCTGGATCTGTCGGGGTTCATAGCAGATTAGATGTTCCAGGAACTAACTTCTTCATCCCCCCTTATTTTTGAGAATTACTCAAGTCCATTGCCACATAGTTTGTGGAAAAGAGATAAGGGGACTTGAAACTTCTTACACTTTTATGGGGGTATTTCAGTTGGAATGGGTAGAAAGAAAGGAGATGGACAGCATCTAGTTCCTTCTGTTTCCCGCTTTGCACCTACATGAGACAATACTTAAGGTCCCGTATCTTTTAAGTAGCCAATCGTTGCCAAGGGCAGTAGAGATTAGTAAAGGATTATTCTGAAATCTTGGTTATTGGGTAGTGGGCCTTAATTTATTGCTTTCTACAGATGAATCTAGGACCTTCTTTAAAAGTGCTTTGCTCTTTCCTTTGTTTTTTACTTAAGCTTGGAACCCAAGGTGACACATCCCTGCACTGGCTCCTGTGTTTGGGAGACTTCCTTATATTTTTCCCTTGGCCTTGACCTGACAAATCAGGTCAGGTCAAGGTAGGGGTGGAGGTGGCTGTTTCATTGTTTCTCTTCTACCGACTTAAGAGATGTCTTGAAGGAGGGAAATCTTAGAGATTTTAGGTGAGTTCAAGGCTTTGTTTTCAAAGCTAAGTTGACCTTATCCCCATGCTTCAGATAGGAAGCTCCCCTTCTTTGTTTACTCAGCAAAGTTGGCTGGACTTTTTCTCCCTTTGTGGCATCTTGCAGTAAAAGCTAGGCTCTTTTCTAGATTTTCATTGCTAGGGAAAAATTTTTTAAATAAACATAACCTCTCCACACCACTTACTGTACCTTTAGAACCAGTAGCTAGTTCTTTGGGCCTCAAAAGCATTTGGCAGCAATGATAGAAATATTTCTTTATATATCTTACCTTCTTAAGTTTCTCTTTTTTACCTCTAGTATCTTTTCTATCTCCTTGTGGCAAGGAAATTTTTGCTTCTAAGAGCTGAGATAGATTTGGAGGTACGTTTTGATGCCAATGAAGATTGGGATCTTTACCTTTAATGGAGAGCATTCTCACATATAGTTTAAGATTATAAAAGCAATACCTCCTCAGCCAAAGCTTTAGCTAACTTAAGATGTCTAAGTGGAGTAAAGCTGAGAGTTTCCCAAAACTTGACTAAGGATCTAGGATACCCTTTACTGGGATTCCCTTTTCCCTAGACCTCTGTGAAATCATCTGGCATTTTTCCCTTAACCTTAGGCTGGTAGAGAAAATTTGGTAAGACACCTCTTTTCTTGGCTTTTTACTGGACCCACCTGTCCACCCTATATTAAAGGCCTCGGCCTCTCTGGCCCCAAAGGCTCCAAGTAGTATACGCTGGAGAGAAAAACGGAGCTGCGCTACCAAACATGCATTATGACTATGCTGGTCCCTGAGAGACAGTATGGCATGGCATAACACAAGCTTTGGATTCAGAAAGACTGGTGCTTGACTTCTCTGAGGGTCATTTGCCTTGTTTCAAAGGGAGCATAAGAAGAGCTATTACTTGTCAGGGTTGTTCTAGGAATTAAATGAGATAGTGAAGGCTTAGCACTTGGCACATAGTAGTAGTTTGGTGATATTCTGGGTGGAAGGTAAGAGCAGTTTTAGGCATAAACATTTGCCGGGCAGGCTAATGGGTTAAAATTCCCTGAGGCTGAGACATGCTGTCACAAATCAGAAGTTGTAGAAGAATCAGTGATTAATGAATTGGCCTTAGCTAGCTTGCTGCTTGCTTGCTTGCTTGCTAGCTAGCTTGTTAGTTTGTTAACTAGCTTGCTTGCTACAGGGGGAGGAATGGAATAATTTGACATTCCTTCCTGCACTGCAACACGAGTTACATAGGTGATGTAGTAGTTGATTGATCAGCATCCCCTGAGCACCGAGCTCAGTGCATTGCACACAGTAAGCAGCCAGTAAATGTTTGAGGGATGAGTGCAGGGAGCTGCCATAACAGTGTAGCCAACTTATTCCACCATCTGTCTACTGTCCTTAAAAAAGAAGACAAGGTAGAATGATCAAAGAATGTGTGTGTCCGTATATGTATCCTGTGGGGTTTCAAGTCAATACATGATTGGTACATTCTTAATAATTATTTACTGAGCGTATCATTTTGTTGCCTGCAATATAACACTCCCTTGACCCTTTTGTTGCAGAGCCATGGGAAAAGTTCTGCCTGTTGTCACACTTTCTGAATGCCATTGTTAAATTCTCACGACCTTTTCCCAACCACATGCACGTGCTCGCGCGCACACACACACACACACACAATCTTCCTCTTCCACAGTCTTGTCTATTTCTTTTTGTATTTCAGGGTGTCTGACATATCAGAAGATGGAGCCAAGATCCAGATTGGTGCCTTTGACTCAGATCAACTGCTGCCTTCCCCAGACAGAACCTCTGGCCTCTGGAAACCTAGATTAAACAG